TTTTTTTATGTTTTACAGTTGACCCAACAGAAATATGATATATTACCTGGGAACAAGCCGTTTTAAATCTAAAATCTACCCTTTAAACGGTTGACTTAAAGAATCAGCGGAGATGGAGCCTCCCATTGATGGGTTTATGGTATACCTTACTCAAGGTGTTCGTTGGAGGTGGGAGAATTGCCACTATGCAGCATTGTTCCACTGAAGGCCTGAGTTCTTTGTTTCTACAGTTTTGGAGAATATTCTCCTGTTACTAACTCATTCTCTTGCTACTAAATTTTCTGAAGAAAATGCAATCTGAACCACTAAATACTGTTTTACAAAATAGTATAAAATATTCAATTTTGAGTTTAAGGCTATATATGTTTTTTCTTTCCATTCTCTAGACTATTGATAAAAAAGGAAAGGAGGGGAAGATGACGGCTCAGCATATTGTTCTTGCTACTGGTCTACGCCCTCGGTATCCTGACATTCCAGGAGCAAGAGAATACGGCATCACCAGGTAATGAAATAATATGTCAGTGTGACTGTCTAGCATGTTGTGACATTGGAAATGATGCCAAATATGGTAATGATGATAATGTTGAGTTTGATGGTGAGGATTGCAGTAACAATGATAACAACAGTGATAATGATAATGATTACAATGAGAGGATAAGAAGGAAAAGGGAGATTATTGGTCGCCATGACAACAGTGATGTGAAGCTTTGGGATGAGGATATCTTGTAATGGAGTATTTTAGTTCATGAAATTTATTTCATTACAGGTTGTCATCAAATGCCTTAACAGGGAAAAAAGAATCCTCTAAAATTTGCCTCGCTCCCAACGTGTGGTTTTGTGGCTCAGTTCTGTAGTCTGATTGTGTGGATGAGGGTTGTTCTGGGTAGGGTAGTCCTGGGTAGGGTAGTCCTGGGTAGGGTAGTTCTGGGTAGGGTAGTCCTGGGTAGGGTAGTCCTGGGTAGGGTAGTCCTGGGTAGGGTAGTCCTGGGTAGGGTAGTCCTGGGTAGGGTAGTCCTGGGTAGGGTAGTCCTGGGTAGGGTAGTCCTGGGTAGGGTAGTCCTGGGTAGGGTAGTCCTGGGTAGGGTAGTCCTGGGTAGGGTAGTTCTGGGTAGGGTAGT